ATGTGTGCATATATATATATATATATATATATATATATATATATATTATTATTATTATTTCAAACATTTTTTTTAGTGCCTACTCATATTTAAGTAGGTGTTCTGTTTTTTTAAACACTGTCTATTTTGTCTACCAACCTGCACACTCAAGAAAACAAAGAAAATATGCCCTCTGGTAGGATTCGAACCTACGTCCTCCTTTGCAGGATGGACCACTATCTGATCTGGCATGCTTTGTCCTCTTAGCTATGAAGAGCTTCATATATGAAATGAAATCTATAATATATATACAGAGTGGCAATAAAGTTACTATACAGTTACTTATAATAAAAAAGCAAAGCATTGAAGCAGGTGACTTGTAGTTCGAACAGTATCAGTAATTAATTTACTATTGTTTACCATAGCACTTTATTGTTATCAACCAGAACTATTTTAATAAATTTCTGGACTGTTGATTAATTGTTTTATCTTAATTGTTATTGAAAGTTACTATATAGTTACTTTATTGCCACACTGTACATACTACATCATAACACAGATGAAATCGGATGCATTCAACAGTCCTGAGGTAAGACATAGATCGGAGTTTCAAAATAAATTCAAACTTTGAGGGATTGAACAGAGATTTGGGTTTACTCAGAGAGTATAACTTCCACAGGGAGACTTTCAACCAACAACATTCTTCAGAAGAATAAGTCTCACTTTTTTTGTTTGTTCCTCGCTGAAAAAGAACTCAGACATGTACGAAGATTCCAACTTTAAAATTGATCTTTTAGTGCTTTGTTTCAGTCAAAAGGTTTATATGAAATAAATATCAATTTTATTGACAATATTGGTATCATTTTCTTGGTTTTTTATCCTTCAAATTTCATTAACTGGCCTAATTATTCTCTCTCTCTCTATATATATATATATATATATATGAAGGTAAACTTTGTATGTATGCTTCATACAAATAAATATATTAATTCTGTATAATTAGATAAATATCTGTAATTTGTACTTCAATGAATAACTAAAAAGATAATTATATTGTTATTATTTGCTCTGGAAGGTCTGCTTGTTTTGCTAAGAATTTGAAAACCAATCCTACAAGAATAAATTGGTCACAGTGAATGATTTATAGATAATAAGTGAGATTTTAAATTTAATTGTATCTCTTTACAGAATCCTAGTACAAAATCCATTTACTGAAGACAACATTTTTCAAGGTCTGTATTTTAATAAATAATAAAAAGTATTTGCATTATTTATATGCAGACGAATGTTCTCATCTTTGCTGTTATTATCACAACATTTTGGCCACTTTGCCTTCCGGCTTTCATCAGGTGCTAGTTGATTCGAATAACTAAATGTAAATTGACTTCAAGTGTAGGTATAAATTTGGCCAAAATTAAAAGCATGAAGAAGCTTCCTTTTTATGCAGCCTCCCTTTAGGTAATCATGGCACTTCACAACTTCTTGTCTTTTGCTGCTTTGACTCTACCATCTCTTTTTTTTTTGTTTGACACTTTGCCATACCTTTCTCTCATTTGACTCTTTGCCAACCTTTTCTGTCATTTGACGCTTTACCATCCCTTTCTGTCATTTGACGCTTTACCATCCTTTTCTGTCATTTGACACTTTACCATCCCTTTCTGTGATTTGATGCTTTACCATCCTTTTCTGTCCTTGTTCTGAATAAGGTTACTTGATTTAAATCACTTTCATTCACTGGAATAATCTTTTCCATGCATTCTCACCTGCTTTAGATATAGTGCAAAGGGAGACAACTACATCTGTTTCATTCCAATGCTATCACAAAACCAAACTAATTATGCCTAGGCAGCAAGTGGAGAGTTTGAATTTTTTCAAAACTACTTGTTTAAATTAAATATCTTTTTCTTTTATGTGCGTCTTCAGAATGTGGGCTATCATGACACTCCACAACTTCTGCTTTGTTTGCCTTCAATATGTCCCATTCTCTAGGCTCTTTTTCCTCATTACATGTCCCAGAAATTTCATCTGTCTCTTTGTGATGTTATGAATTCCCTCCATTTGAATGAGAATCTGACAGAACAGTAAATATATAAGACAATTCAGAAAACTCACATTTTAACACGTTATATTGATCAGGCATCGTCATCAGATAAATCTACATAGACAAAGCAGAATGTGATTCACAGTAGTCATATGAACACTGGAAAAAATAAACAAAACTTAATTTAAAAAACAATAAAGTTAAATGAAATTTTTTTTTTAAATCCAGCATTTATATGATTAATGAGAATAATGTTTTGTCTCATCACTGTAGATTTGGTTGAAATAAAATTGATTTTTCTGATGACAATGTTTGATTAATAAAACATGTCAAAATAAGCATTTTTCAAATTGTCTTATACAGAATGTAGCAGAAATACCTCCCACATATAACTCCCAGAAATACCTCTTACTGTCTTACCCTCATGTGGGAGGTATTTCTGCCACACCCTGAATATTTATTATTAGTTTCCTTGTTCCAGTTTCCCTTAAAGCTTCCTAGTTACTCACATGTTATATCCATGGTATTTTTAGTAATAACTAGCAGCATGGCCTGGCGTTGACCATGCTTGATTAAAAAATTGTACAACTCATACAGCAATCGCTATCACTTGACTTAAAATATTTTTGGCCTTCCTTGCCTTTAAAGGAGCGCCCTTTGCCGTGCTGATGTTACTACATGCCTTACTTCTTGCCTATCTTACACTGAAAATTTTTTCTAAGCTCTATACTAAACATTAAATCTGTTAGGAAAAAAAGAACTAAACAAAATGAACACAAAACGATCAGCTTTAAAAAAGGACTCGTAACTGGAAAAAACCGAATGAAAAAAGAATGTTAACAACAAATACTTTTTCACACCCAACCCAGTTCTGCGGAATCAGAATCAATGTTGAGTTTAACAAGCGAATTCGTGTCAGTCAGCTGTTGGCTTTCACGCTGGCCAATAGAATCTTCCTGCCTATTCATGGCAGCCAGCTATAGGCTCTCACTCTGGCCAGTACAAAATGGCTGCAAACTACATGAAAACTACTGTAGAAGCATGAAAAAATTGATTATTTCCACTATCGATGGGAGTTGGGAAATGCAAAGTTGGTCTTGGCCTTCCCACTAACTTGGAGCATGTGCATGTAAATTTTGGTGCAAATCCGTTGAAAATTGCGGCCGTGCATTCATACACACACACACACACACACAAATCCTGCCTTTTATAGATAGAGATCAGTATAACCTCATCTTTTTGTTTTTCTTCTTCATCTGTGAAGAGACTGTCCAACAATCACTGCTATAGAGAACTTTCCAGCTGACTCTTGTAAAAGATTAGATATTATATAGCAATTCAGGACTATTTTGTTTCTAACAAAATTTTTCTATTGCTTAATACTTTGCTCAGTTTCTGAAGGCATTTTTCACTATTCCTTTGTTTCTGCAAATTTTTGTCACATTCACCATCATCTGTTACCACACTACCCAGATACTTAAATTCACCATCTATATATATCATATCCTTTCAGGACATACACAGTCATAGCTCTCCACATCTTTCTAGCCATTGTAGCTCTTAGCAATGTTTATCATTTTACTGTCCCTTAAATTCTGTTTTGTCATCAATTTGCACAGTAGCTAAATGAGTTACCATATTAGCATTTTTATCTCCCAAAATAGATAAAAATATTTTTTTTATTTAAAGTTGAAGTTAATGCTTACTCATATTTCATAGACTATTAATATTTGTACTTAGCTTATATTGTAATCTCATAATGTGAGTGCAATATGGCACTTGTAAAATCCAAATTATCATTTAGAAGGTACTTACTGTTACAAATAATCAAGATTGGTCTCCCCTTGTTTTGTTACTCTCATCTTTGAGAGAGCTATATATGTTTATTGGGACTATAAAAGGACACTATGTGTGAACCCTGTATTCTAAGTTGAATAAATCTTTCTTAAAGCCTACACCTGCATACTTTTGTCATTACACTTACTATTATAAGATTAGTTCTGATAAAAACTACAACTTACAGAAATATGATACTTACTGATATAAATTTTAAAGTTATCATTAAAAATAAATATTTGACTTTATTCTGTGGTGTTAACTGTACTTGAAATGGTAATGGTAATATTGGCTGTTTCCTTATAAGGAAACATTCAGCATTCATTGATTGAGCAGCCAATACTGCTTTTGGTTGAAATTTATAAAATTTCTCTATTAAAACAAATTTTTCAGAAGCTATTATTGTTCTTTCCAGTATTGATGGAGATTTCCTTCCTAATCTTTTAATTGAAGTAGAGTGAAATATCAATATTTTGGTTATGTCATTATTTTCTCATCAAGTTATATATTTTACCCATTTTATTTGTTACTACTGTTGAAAGTCCTCAAGTGATGTGGTTTCGATTATTTGGTACAGTTCTTTGTTTGTGATTCTTTTGGACCAGTCTGGAATGTTCAAAGATATTTCTGAATGAGTTTGGCAACATGCATGTCATCCATATGAAAGTCTCAATCTGAATGAAGCTAATTAAAAACATGGCTTGAGTTTTTAGGTTAATGTTTTAGTTTGTAGCAATCTGAATTGATAGGCAAAACTACCTCTAGCATAGCCTACTCTGTGTTCAATTCTTTTACCTCTTATGCTAAATTTGATCCATACACCAAGATATTTGCAACGTTTGTTATTTACCAATTCCACATATTGAATTCTTATGATGGATCTTGAGTAGGTGCCATCATTGCTTTTGTTAAAATTCCAGATCATAGTTTATGCTTTGAAAATGTTTATTTTGAATCCTATTTTTTTTAAACACTTGAGAGAGGATGTTAATTTTTTTTGTTCAAGATTATTCTTACTGAATTATTAATACCTACATTATCAGCATTAACCACTATCAACATTGATATTTTAAAATATTATACTAGTTTCTCTGTAATTAGTATGATGTGGAAAATCAATGTAAATTTTGACTTAAAAACTTACCTCCTAAATATGGCTTCTTTGAGTGTAAACTGCAGGGGATACTGATTATAACCTTATCTTGTGGAATTTTGTCCTCCTTGCTATCACTGACACTTTCTTGCTCTTTGATCCCCTGAGTAGAACCATGTTTGTTTTTGTATCTTCCAAGCAGAAGAGCTTCATAAGGTTTCTTATGAGGTGAATCAAGGTCATATACAAATTCACCTGATGTTGTCACCTGGAGAAAAATATGAATAAAAAATTAGACATATTAAGGGATAGAAAACTATCAACTGTCTTTCATGTTTTCATTTTCCAAAAGTCTTTAATTTAATTCTGCATATATCTTATAAACAAAAGATGTGCAGCTGTTGTGATGGATACTGCTGTGGGAAGTGTAATCAGCAATCCATTTTCAAATTCCAGGCTAGTCTGTTGTATTCACTTTTGCACAAATGCTCTTGGAAAAGGTATAAATCTGTTTCTTTTCCTCTAAGTATGGGTTAAATGCCAGAGTAGACTGGGTTCTCTAAATCTGGATGGCAGTCTAAAACTCTGAATTCCAGACCATGGAGAAGGCAATGAGAGACCATTCCACTGTCTTTCCCAAGAATGCATAGCAATTCAGAGATAATAAAAAATATATATCTACAGAATCATTACTGTCTACATTCTTAAAAGGAGACAACATTAAAAAAATATACTCAGAAATAAAAAGGCTAAAAAAATGGCACAAATTCTGCCAACATGTTTTACTAATTTACAATTTATTTAGCATTCTTTTAAGTATCTTTATTAAAATAAAACATTTACATTATTTGACACAAAAAAATATTTTGACATTAAATGATCCATAAAGGGTTCAGTCAGTTATGTGCCATACATGATACACACTCATGTCTCTTTCAATTCATGACTGACTATGCAGATTTTCCTGCACTAGGTTGCTGTTACTTTCTATGGTTGACTGATTGCCAACCAAGGCTATAGGATCCAGTCTGCCCTGCTATTCAACCATGATAACAACAGTCAGTCACTTAAATGCCATACATGATACACACTTGAACACTTGTCTCTTTTGATTCATAACTGACTAGGTAGAAGATTTTCCTGCAGTAGGCTGCTGTTTCTTTCTGCAGTAGACTGGTTGCCAACCAAAGCTACAGAATGCAGTCTGTCCTCCTATTCAACCCATAGCTGGGGAAGAAGAGATGGATATGGATTCATATGTTTCCAAAGGGTATTTCTGTGTCTGTGAATATAATAAACCTGACTGGAATTTGAACTCAGCTCTCCAACATCTCATTCCAAGCCATTACTCATTACATGACACCGAAAATCTACATAAAGGGTTACCTTGCTGTAAAACCAATTAATCAATCAAACATTTACATTATTTGAGAAGTCTTAGTAATTGGCTGTACAATTGATCATTTACAAATGAAAATAGCTATTGTTTTTGATGTCATCAGTGTTGCCATTTAATAGAAAATACTATGGAAAATTTGCAAGTAAAAACAGTTTAAAATCAAAATATATAACTACATAACTGAACTAAATAAAGTCTCATGAATAAAACCGATGTGTCTGGTGTGTTGAATTGTATTGATTTAATAGAGATTGGTTTTCAGTTCAAAGGATCAATAATCTAATCATTCAAAAAAAACAACAACAAAAAACAAAAAAATGTAAACAAAAGAGAATTGTTACAAAGGAAACCTCCTTTGGATTTTATTTAATAAGACTATGATGACTTTTTAATTAATTGATAGTTTAAAATCAACAACACAGAAATTGTTAGAATTAACTCAAGGATTACATATTTCTATATTCATTATTATTACTAACATTATATTTAATGGGTAAAGGTGTTTCAGTAGACATCTCTATTTAAACAGTAACATTTCTACCAGCCTAGAAATTAAGAAGTCTAATAAAAGAAAATGTGCCTCCTGTCAGAAATCAGGCCTGTATTCCATTTTCAATAAAGAAAACCACTTAAAGCCAAGTATGCTTTGCGATTAAGCCATAGAAAACCAAAGATCAATTACCCCCAAAATTTCATTAATTACTTAAAATTTACTTTATGTTCCATGTATGAAAATAAAGTTAGCCAATATCAAATAGTTCCAAGGAGAAATGGGCATATTCAGGTAATTGAATACATTCCTTCTCTTCTACTTTGCTTTTTAGAGTTCAGTTCCTTTCAAAATGAACAGAGAGGCAGCTATATATATATATATATATATACATATAGGCAGCTATATATATATATATATATATATATATATATATACATACAGCCGATTCCAATAATCATTTGAAGATTTTGGAATCGGTTTGTATAGGATTAAGAAAACCTTCTCTCTGCGGCAGAAAAGAATTTGTAAAGTCTCTGAATCTGTTGGGGATATTTTATTTTAACTGTCCCTCGCTAATTTATTTACACGATTATTTCCCCTCCCCTCGTTACAAGTATATATACTTGTTTGTTATTTTAGCATGTTTTTCCCCCTCTTTTTTGCTCTTCAATATCGTTAATATTCTTTTCGCTAATCCAACGATTGTCTCCTGATGAGATGTTGGCTGAAAGGGCCCTAGAGACTTTTAAAATTAAAATCAATGCATTCCTTGTTTTTAAAACTATATATATATATATATATATATATATATATATGCAAAATATACAAATTTATATATCAGACTAATAGTGAGTAATCAAATGACAAAAATAGAAAAACTCCAAAGATACAACTTTTTCAGAGTAATAAATAGTTTCATTGATGGAGTCAATAACAAACACACACACATATATATATAAATAATGGATGAGATCATATATATATATACAGAGAGAGAGAGAGAGAGAGAGAGAAATGTGTGTGTGTGTGTGTGTGTGTGTGCATATAAATGAAATCAGTTCAGTATCAAAATACACTGCATCTCAAGATTTAAATTTAAAGTTGAGTATCCTTGTATCCTTAATGTTTTTGATGAAAAATTATAACTGGCATTTGTTGTATTTCTTCCTCACTATATATATATATATATATATATATATATATATATATATATATACACACACTAGCTGAAAAGCTGTCCTATCAGACAGCATTTAAGCTAGCTACTGTAGAGGGCTCATGAATAGGTAGAGAAGAGTAGATGTATTTAAGCATATCTTTTAAAAGTTCAATGATAATTCTTCTGACGCTACTTAATTTAAAGACAGTTTGATGTATGTAGGTCCTTACTTTCCGTGAAAACAAATATTTTTATTTCATTGGTGACTTTCACTGGATTTCATAATTAATTTCAATTATTCTCAAATTTATGTTCAAGTTATAAAAATTGGTATCAAATAAAAAATTTGTCACAAAAAATAAATCAGCAAAAACAATCACAGTAATGAAAATTTGAGAATCCAAAATTTCAGGATTGCTGGTTCAGATTTGGCCCAGAATGTTTTCAATTTGCTCACAGATTCAGCCAGATTCCAAAATGGCTTCTAGAAGTAAAGGTGGAAAAGTGTGACACAGTGACACACTGATATTCACATTTATTTATATATATATATATATATATATATATATATATATATATATATATATATATAATAATAATAATAATAACAATATTATTAATACAATAATATCAAAATCTGTTACTCATATTCTTATATCTGCCTGCTGGTAGTTATTACATGAAACTCTGAGTAGCAGATTTTGATAATATTGTATTAATACCATTATTATAATATATTACCATATTTGAAGCTGTACCTTTTATTCTTTATATATATATATATATATATATATGTGTGTGTGGTATGTATAAAATTAGCAAAAATTAACATCATAAAAAACAATGCTCGATGTAACATATCAAATGATACAGAGCAAGGTATAAATGATGATAAAAGGTACTTGACATTTTAACTGTGTTTGGTAAAGCTTGCTTTTCTGCATATGAAACAGTAAGTCATAAAGGCAACTGAAAGATCAAATTAAGTACCTTTTATCATATATACATTTATGTAATCATTTCATCCCAACCAAGGCAATAATGCCACAAAGGCACAAGAGGTGGGAGGAGTGGAAGAGAATGAAAAGACTTTAGTGTGAAAGAAGGGCAATAAAAGAACAGGATTCAAGAAAATAGTATGAAAATTATTAATGACATACATTTCCTGGAATCTGTAAACATGTATATATGAAGGACTGCTATCATAAAAAAATAACCCACACAGTGTATTATGTATTATTGAATTGATGTTATTATATTTAGGCTCTGTTAACTTTGGCACTGAGTGCTCAGTTTAGTTTATATTTGAAGCTTTAGCTTTTACTTTTATTATTATTGTGTGTGTGTGTGTGTGTGACTCCATCAATAAAACTATTGTCTGATGAAGTTCTTTCTGCTAACAAAACATATCACTTACACTTTGCTATTCAATTACCTACTATATATATCTATATGCGTGCAAGATTTCATGGAGTGTGTTATGATACAAAGGACCTTGGTATACCTCGGATTGATAACAAATCTATGTGCGGTTAAATACACATTTATTTACATTTGGCGGCCATTATAATAATGGGGACAGGAAGCGGGTCTCTTCACTGATCCTAAGAATAAGTTCTGATCCACACAAAACAATCCCCATTATTTTGACAGGTATTATTCTTCTTCTGTCATTTGCAGCTCTTAGTAAATTCTGTGTCTTTGCTATCATTCCTAATCAATGTTCTGCCAACCATTTACACAAGCTTGTTAGGTAGGTTGGTTCTATCTGGTGGCCATACTGTTGCTATGTCAACATGTAAAACAGACACATAAGAAATTAGATAAATAATCATATATTTCAAGAAAGCAACGACACCAACATAATTATGGGGAATGGACACTGTTTGCCAGTTATGTGATTCATTCAACTTTTTATCATCACACAAATGAGAAATGTAATAATTGTTGTCACAAGGGTAAAATTTTTGTCAGCTGATTTTCATGAATTTTATGGAATACATACAGGCTAAAATTTCAAAGACAACATTATGTATTATGATTGTATAAATCCACCCATTTTTTGCTATTAGTACCCAGACTGCTGATCAAACTATATATGGACTTTATCATTCCAGAATGTGTAGTAAAATCAATCACATTAAAACACCATCATATGATGGGCAAATTCTTCTTATTTTATGTGCCATCTCCTTTCAGTATACATGTAATTATGGTAATGGTAATGTTAGCTGTTTCCTTATAAGAAAACATTTGGTATTCATTAACTGAGCAGCCAGTGCTGCTATCAGTTGAAATTTACAAAATCAGTCTCTTAAAACAATTTTTCAGGAAAATAGGTTTCTCAAGTCAAATAGCTGTTATCACTCTTTTTCCAGTATTGATTAAGTTTTCCTAACCTTTTATTTGAAGTAGTGTACAATGTCAACATCTTGATTAGTCATTATTTTCTCTTTGATTTACATGTGCTTTGATTTTAGTTGTTGCTGCTGTTGAAAGTGATGTGGTTTCTGTTATCTAGTACAGTTTTTTGTGGTTCTGGAACACTAGTCCGCAAGTTTCAAAGAGTATGGTCCTTATTACAGGCTTCATTCACTCAAAACCATTTTTAACCATTGATCTGAGAAAGCAGTTGTATATATCCGACAGCTCAGATAGTTCTGAACATGACATCTATATGAAAGTCTCAATCTGATAAGGCTATTTCAGAACATGACTCAAGTTCTTGGATTAATGTTTTGCTTTTGTAGCAAGTTGCACTTTCAGGTAATTTGTAGTCTATGTTCAATTCCTTACCTACTAAATTTATTATAACATATCCAAGGTATTCAAAGGTTAATTCCTTATCTATTAAATTTATTATAACAGATCCAAGGTATTCAAAGGTATTTTTTTTTTATTTGGATTCAAGGCATGTTCCATAAGTGATTTTATTCGAATTCCAGATCATATTTTTTGTTTATATCTCTTAGAAGAGGTATTATCATTATTAACATTATTCAGACTTTTATCCACATCTTCATTGCCATATGGCCAGTTGGTTAGATCCAGTAACTAGACCCAAAGAGTTGTGAGTTCAATACCAGGCTACATCAGTGATGAACCAAAACTTGGCAAGTTGAGATAAAGGGAAATAACTGAGACATCTGGAAGAGGCATGGCACATGAAACTAGAGCAATCTACCCTGGTGGATGAAATAAAGGGTTTGGTTTGAAATTCCAATCACCTGAAGAAGGCTGCAGCATACAACAGCTGAAACATTGTGAATATTGCAATGAAGATAAGGATAACAGTCTGAAATGTGACTCAATGTGTTTTTTGAAACTAGAAAATTTCTTCTGTTTTGGTTTCAATTGCATGAGTCTATCATGATTTTTTTTTTTTTTACTTTTCTTCACATTTTAGCACAATGTCTATGCTTGTTTCACTTTGTTAATTTGGTTTCCACTTTTCCAAAGATAGTGATTTCTCAGAGCATTAAATGTCTTTTTTATTTTCTTTGTTAGTTATTTAGTATTATTCCTGTTCTCTTTGTTTATTTTATTAATTTTTACAAATGAGGATTGTCATCCCACAAGATGTCTAGAAAAAAAATTCTCTCACACACTTTGACTAAAGAAGATATAATTACATTATTTGATTCCTTTACATTGCTTTGGTCAAGATTTAAGGACACCAATTTGAATTCTCATTTATAAGAAAGTTCTACTTGCACATTTTCATTTGTAAGGACATGAATGTTGGCTGATGTTGTGAGTTTTATTACAATAAATCTGTAATGAAATTTCAAGTGAAAAATTTGCCAAGATGCTGAAGTTAATCTTTTTGGTTACATTATCTGGGCTATGCCATGTGATCTGGTGCTTATGGCTCTCCACAACTGCCTATTTTTGTTGCTCAAACTAACTTTTGACCCTTTACCATTCCTCTTTGTTTCTATTCTGCCATTTATTCAAACAAACACATTGATTAGATCACTGTTTCTCTCTGCTTCTTTTGCCTTCAATATATCTTGTTGGTGTTAAATTCTCCAAACTTTCTTTCCTTCTTATGCATCCCAGAAATTTCAGCTCTCTCAGATTGTCAGCATCAGTTTTCTGTTAGTCGCTATTTTCCTTACAACTTCCTTGTTGTTTACATATTGTTCATTGTATGCTTACTATTCATTGGTAGAATGACATCTGTCATTTCAAGTCACTTTATCTCTGAAGAGATTAGTCAGTATTCAATACCATATAGGAGATTAGGTATTACATAGCAATTCAGTACTTGTTTCTTGGTACATTTTCCAATCTCTTAAGTTGACCTGGGTATGATGATAAACTACATCTGGCAACAAGGCTTCTGATAGGAAGGTTTGGAGGAGTGTAGAACCACCTCTTAATTAATGTTGTCCCCTGGTCCACCCTGATCTGGAGTGGTAGCACCTGTTAGGGTCCCAGCTATGGGCAAATAGTTAACCACCAAAGTGAGGTCAAAACACTATAAAAGTATAGAAATAGATTTTTATAGTAAAAATGCGAGCAATACATTTTTTGAAAAAAAAATTTACCAGCAACAGATTTGATTCTTGACAAAATCCCTCTTTACAAAAATACATCAAATAAACCTGATCTACAAACTGATTTCTTACAAAGAATACTTATTCTATTCATATGAACCTATCCTAAAAATCTTGTTGATATTAAATAACCCACTGAGGTTAATATGCTGTAAAACAAAGTAAACCAAACCAAACTAAACCTATCTCTTAGTACTTCATTCTTGTATTATTCTGAAATATTGTTCTTGTCTAGATTGATATAGATGTTATTATAGACAATGTTTCAATGAAGTACCCTCTGGTCATCATCAGGTGTTCATTGACTGATATGGGATATCTGTTGATTATTGTGACATTGAATATAAAAGGCTCCAAAAACACACCATGTCCTTCAGGATGGTGGATATAGGAGTTGGTTATACATGTTACTTTCCTTTAGTGGTCACAAATTCAATCATTGGAACAGTTAGTGAAGCACCGATTCAGCAGGAATGAAAAATAACTGAAAGGGAGAAAATATCACAGTAATCAACAGTTATCTCATATTAGCCAATCAATGGATACCTGATGATCAGAGAGTACTTGGTCTAAATGTTGGATTTATAGCAACATCTATATTAACCAAGATGAAAACAATAGTTCAAAATAATACAAGAATATTGACAGTTATTCATCTCAGAAATGAAATACAAAACTCTTAATACTTTACTTAGGTTCAGGAAAATGTCTCCAACTATTCTTATGTGGCTTTGGATTTCAGTGTCATATGGTGCACAGCTTTCATATATATTATAGAGTATATAACAAAAGTTAATGTTATAAGGTATACAATGACATTTTGTTTCCTTTTCAGAGCTGAACTTTCTTTTAAGATTATTATTTCATTTTGACAAACAATATTTTTACAATAGCAGAAAGTTATTTGAATTATAAAAAGAAAACAAATTTACCTTCAGCCAATGCCACCTTGCCAGGAACTGGACATTCCACCTTGGGAACAGTCTCTCCTTAACAAATCTTTGATGACTTTGTCGATTGGTGACCCATACAACCACAATACACCCAGGAGCAGCCAGTTTCTCAATAGGGCAGGACAAAAAGTCTTCATTTGTAACACTCCAGTATCTAGATTAAAGTTGGAACACAAGATTCAGTCAGAGTGTGTAGGCATGATATTTTTATTAGATAATAAAATATTGGACAGGTAAATGAATAAAGTTAGTAATGGTGACAATAAGAGTAACTCCCTCTGTATACATCCAGTTAGCATTTGAAACAAGAAAACTTGCTTAGAGATTATACAGTGGGTGAAGAGAACATTAAAAGTTAAATCAGTGTTTGCTTTTATTTTTGTTTCTTTTTACAAAGATTTTTAACAGTATAGAGTATTAAAGTAAAAAAAAAATATTATATAAGTGAATATGTAAACATCAGGAGAATATATGAATCTCTAGATATCAGAAAACTATTGGGTAATTGAATGACAAAATAGAAAAAAAATTCTATGTAACATGTTTTGTCTTATAAAAGGACTTCCTCAAATTAAAGCAATCTTATTGATGGAATTATATCTAAATTTCATGGTTTTTTCATTCAAATTAATAGATTTGAGGTCTCCTAACTCCATGAAATGTAAAAATTTTAAATGAGCACTTTATTGCAAAATTATTATTATATTCTTTTGTAGTTCTATCTCTTTGATTTTTTTGCCAACAGGACCAACATGGTAAATATCCTGGATATTAACAGTATACATATTTAAATAGTAGTTGTGAACCTACTTAGCTCTTAAGCAGTTAATGCACCTAGAAATAATTTATGTATAATAATATGTCAATAATATTTTTGCCCTCAGGTTCCAAATATTTCATACACCTGGAGTTAATGTATGTACAATATGTAAATAATATGTATACTCCATTCCATGATATTTACAACCACAATAGCAAAATACATTTTTACTCCAAGTCCTGACCTGAATACAATAGTAATGGCAAAGTGTAATGGTCGTGCAATATAGCAAAGGAACTAACTAATGGAGGGAGGGCATGGTTTTTCTATTTGATGAATCTTAATTCTTAAGTTAATGATTGAATAAGCTCATGGAGAGTTATACAACAATTAAATATCTGTAGAAATTCTCTTATCATATTGTTAAATATTTGGAGTTAACAACATTAACAAAATATTGCAATAACAATCATGAAAAGATATAAAATTGACAAATTTTTCCATTTCAGTGAAACAGATTTTAAACATTTCTATCTTCCCTTCTTCCTTTCTTTCTTTCTTACTGAAACCAAGTAGTGTCTTTGATATGTCATTCCACACAAACAAAAAAAGAACAGTTCATTATTTATGAGTTATTGGCAGGAGACACTTCTATCACTTCTATCAACCCTTCTTTCTTTCGTTTTCTCACTGAAACCAAGTAGCATTTCTGATTTGCCATTTCCATCTTTTCATGCAGTCAAAACGGAATAGTCCATTATTTATGAGGTATTGGCAGGGCATAGTGGCCATGTGAACTAACTAATGAAGGATACCCACACCCCCTGTGTAGAAATGTCTGCCTGCCTCCCCTATGCATGCATCATCTATTGGTATACTAAGTTACTCCTCACTGCATCTTTTTTATGGTATGTCCTTCACAAGTGTTTGATTGTTCTTCACTATCGATATAACCTTCTTGTGTGGTCATTGCTCAGGGTTAAATTGTTTCAATGTTTTAGATATTCAGTAAATTTCTGTTCTGGTTCTTACAACAGTTCACCATTCTTAACAAATCTTATGTTGCTGCAGTGTGGGATATTTGAAAAACAACAGCAATAAAAACAAAAGCAATGTAAAACTGAATGAGATTGGCTGTGCTGTGCATCTAGATATGTTGGACACAAGAAATTTTCAAGTTTTAAATTTAGCATCCTTACATCTTCAGTGTTTCCCCCCCGGTGTATAATCACAACCAACATTTATGTTTATATTTCTACCCTTCCCCCCGAGATATATATATATATATATATATATATATATATATATATATATAACTAGCAGGCTTTACATGCTTGCTATTGCTTGGCAATATAAGATACATTCACTATTCAAAATCTTAGAAACAAAAATTTTAAATAAACATTTTCTTCATAAATTGGTTTGTTATAGTTAAGGAAAGTTTTACAAATAGATGCCAACTTGCTAAAGGTCAAGTAAAATGTAAATTTCAAACAGTTTTTTGCACTATATAAGATGATATTCCTAAACAGAACTATTTTTGATATGAAAATCAAAACAATCCTCAAATAAAAAAAACAGTAACGAAGGACAGTTAATTAATGAAATAAACTTTTTTTTTAAATCAATATGCAAATTAGGACAGTCACAACTGAGGAAAATTATACTGAGAGGTGCCCAGCCCTGGGGAACAGCTGACTGAGCCACACTCTCTCATTGCATCAGAGAGAAAGAGAGATCAGTGCTTGCACTGAAGCCAGCACAACCAACTGTTATGGGGGACTGGGGCAATTTTTGTTCCTAGCCTGGGTGTACGCACATGGGCTCCCCACATTAAATCAACCATGTGTCACAAACTGACCTCATGGGAGGTTGAGTAAATACAAATTACTATAAAGTAGAGCTGGGGCTTTTTAATCTCAGAATTTGTGGGAGAATTGAGCTCCAATTTTGCATTTATTCATATAGATTCCATAATACAGGTTTTACTTAATTAGCTATTATGTTTCTCTAACTCTTCAAATGTTGAATGTATAACTAATTCTAATTTCTATTTTCCTACCTTTACACTATATTAATTTTATCTTATAAATTGTCCCCTGTTCTGTCACCCATAAAATAAAAATAATTGTTTGTATCGAAAATAAGGATCTATGTACATCAATTCGTCTTTAAGTGGCAGCAGAAGAAGTATCATTGAACTTTTAAAAGGTAAGCATAAACATTAATTCAATACTTAAATGCAGCAATCAATTTTGAGTTCTTCTGTAGTTTATTGATGCCTATCACATTTACTCCTCCCTAGTTATTGTGATGATGGCCAAACCAAGAGTCCTCCACAGGAGCTAGCTTAAATGCCACCTAATAGGTTTATAATAAAATGTGCACAGCAATTTTGGATACAGAAGGAAAATAAGAATTACTCCCCTTGAACCATGAAAGCAATGATAATGGCTAGTATAATATATTAATATATATTTTTAACCTCGCATAATCGGGCAACCCTGAATTTGAGCTCAACAAAAATTGTTCCATGTGCCTAACTTTTCTAGGGCTTTTGAATGAACTATGAATCATTGAAATCAGACCAGTGGGAATGGAGGAGTTACTTGGACATGCACAAACACACATACACTATACTTTACATTATAAAATTCCCTCAATTAGAAAATTGCTTTAGTCTGACAAAGTCCTTTCTATAGTATAACATTTTCCTATTTTGTCTTTTAATTACACTATATACAGACTGATACTAAAATCTGGACGCAGAAAATCTCATTAACTATATTTTTTTTTGCCTCCACAGATTAAACATGGTTTTTTCGAAAGAAAGAAAGAATTGACTTCTTTTTCTGGGGTATGCTAAAGGGGAAAGCGTACTCAATGAAAATCACGGATGCAACACACTTGAGTGCAGAAAGAGTGAATGTGCTAATATTGACAGCAATGTGGAGTTATTGCATTAAGTTCACATGAATCATGCAAAGTGCATCAACCTTTGTATAACAAATGATGAAAATCATATTGAAGATGCTATTTGTTAATATTCCAATTCAATAAAATGTTGTTGAAATCTTCATTTCTTGAAAATATGCATTTGTTGGCTATATGTCCTGACTTTACAGACATCCTGTATACATAGGGTAAATGAGTAACTGTCATAAACTGATAATGAAAAATGCATTTATTTTACACAACACATATTTACATCAGAATTTTTTTAGATAAGGAATTATCAACATTAGATGCCTTTTTATTCAGACTACCATATACATCTTGATTGCAATACTCACACCATTTCAGCTATTGTACCCTCTGACCTTCTTCAGGCATCTAATGTATCCATACTTGATAACTTTCTCAGAATGAACTGAACCCTTTATTCAACTCATGGAATGTGGGGATAAATCTCTTCTCATTCCAATTTCCATATTTGCAAAATAACAATTTAACTTTTCTATGCATTTTAACTTGCATGCGAAAATAAATTTCTATTGAGTGGTAGTTCAATGAAGGTTATTGGTGAGGCTAAACTTCTGCTTTAAAATAATCAATTCAGTCATACTGACAAGGATATTTAACATCTTGTCAGTGACCCTATAGATCAAACCTTCATTATGCTGTCAGTCACTAAGCAAATACAGAGTATTTATCAAATTTCTTTGTGTTACTGATGTCAAATTTTACTTCTGTTGAGAGCTCATTTACTTTAACTATAATATTCTTATTGCAAGACCGTGAAATAGTGATGGTGTCATACATTACTGAAATATTGCTGGAAGATTATAAAAAGTTCTATGCAGATGAAGACAAATCTAGACTTGCATTCCTTAAATAACATTTTGATGATAAATTTTTAATAATGTCTGAATACATTTTACCACTACATGTTTATTTTTTATGTATTATATGTTTGAAATTTTTTACTTAGTAACTCATTATTTTATATAAAAATACATCATAAATGTGAATTTAAAATAAATGTAAACATCAGAAGTCTATTATCAGATTTTATTGTCAATGTTTCTACAATAAAATTAATATTAACTGACATTGGTAAAAGTTTCAAGATATACAGCAGAACCTTAATTTAACAGACTAATAGGTGGGAGGATAGTCCATTAAAACTGTTTGTACATTAATTTGAAGCACATTTTTCATGGTCTGAAACCACCCTATACAGTACAAAGTTATTGTAAATAAATGTAAATACAGTATATATATGTATATGTATTTTATTTTTAAGTTCCTATATCAGTTGTGCCATGCATGATACATTTTTAAGTGTTCATGTATCTTTCGAGACATGACTGACAAGGTAGATTTTTTCCTGCAGTAGGTTGCTATTTCTTTATGTGGTAGACCAGTTGTCATCCAAGACTACAGAACCCGGT